AAAAAAAAAAAAAAGTAAATATTCACAGTAAAAACTCTTTTCTAGAACATTCACCCTAGGCAGATGCATACTACCATCCTCCTGGCATTTGCTTATGGGTCATTACTTTTTTTTGGGGGGGGGGTATCCAGTCATGGGGCCTGAACTCTGGGCCTGGGTGCTGTCCCTCAGCTATTCAGCTCAAGGCTAGCGCTCTACTACTTGAGCCACAGCGCCACTTCCGGCTTTTGTCTTATGTGGTGCTGAGGAATCGAACCCAGGGCCCCGAGCATGCAAGGCAAGTGCTCTACCACTGAGCCACCTTCCCAGCCCCTTATGGGTCAATTCTTGATGAGGCCATTTTTAAATGAATTTTTAATCATTTAAAAATAACATGTCTGAGATGAGCATGGTGGCCCATGCCTATAATACAAGCTATGCAGGAGGCAGAGATGGGGATGATCATGATTTGAGGCCAGCCTCAGTGAAAAATTAGCAAGAACCCATGGCCACAAATAAGCTGGGCATGGTGGTTATGACTGTGGTTACAGCTGTGTAGGCCATAGGTAGAGGATTGCTGTTTGTGCTGGTCTGGGGCAACAATGTAAGACCCCATCTAAATAATCATAATAACAGTAACTACAACAAGAACAACCGAAAGCAAAAAAAGGCTAGTGGCATGAATCAGGTGGCAGACATCCCTGAGTTCAAACTCCAGCACTTGCACTCACCCCCAGAAAGCTCTGAGTTCAAACTCCAATACTCCTACTGACTCCTTCTGAGATAGTATGTCTAGTGATGGGTATATAGTTCATTGGTGCCACTGGCACTTTATGTTTAATCCCCAGTGCCACTGGGCACTGGTGGCTCATACCTGTAATCCTGGCTGCTGAGATCTGAGGTTTGTAATTCATTACCAGCCCAGGGAGGAAAGTCTGCGACTCAACTTCAAGTTAACTACCAAAAAGCTGCAAGTGGCACTTGGAGTGCTAGAGCATCAGCCTCGAGTGAATAAAACTAAGGAACAGTTCTCAGGCCCTGAGTTCAAGCCCCAGTACTACCTCCAAAAAAACAAAAACAAAAAACAAAAAACACCAATTTACTTAAAAAACACATAAATAAGCCGGGCGCTGGTGGCTCACGCCTGTAATCCTAGCTACTCAGGAGGCTGAGATCTGAGGATCGCAGTTCAAAGCCAGCCCGGGCAGGAGAGACTGTGAGACTCTTATCTCCAATAAACCACCAGAAAACCGGAAGTAGCGCTGTAGCTCAAGTGGTAGAGCGCTCACCTTGAGCTGAAGAGCTGAGGGACAGCGCCCAGGCCCAGAGTTCAAGCCCCATGACCGACAAAAAGAAAAGAAAAAACACATAAATATCAATAAATATCATTTACCAGATTATATATTGAAGAGAAAAATTGCTTTGTTGGGTACTGGCGAAGATTAATAAAATTCCATATTGGTTCATGTTAAAAATCTTAGAAAATGAAGAACAGAAAGGAGTGTCCCTAAAGAGGCATTGGGGCTGGGGTTGTTGGCGAAGTATAGAGCCCATGCTTAGTGTATATGAGACCTTGGTTTCAAATCCATTGACATTGACGTACAATAGAGACAGTTCACCAAATATCCATAAGCTCCCTGACATTTCCTGTCTCCTTTGCTGTTAGATGGGGGCCAAGTAACATGCTCTATGCACTAGACTATGAGTAGGAGCAGCATGTCACTTTTAGGTGAAGGCAGTTGAGCCCACGTTCCTCCTCCATCCCTTTCTTCTCTTGCTCCAGTGACCTTGGAGGCTGCGTATTGCAGATGGCATAGATTAAAGATGGAGTAAGGATGCTTCACTCTCATCAGACTTTGCGTAAGCAAGAAATAACCCTTATAGTGTTAAGCCTCTAAGATTCCAGAGTATGTGTGTAACTGCAGAATAGACTATCTTGTTCTAATTTAAAGGACACCTACCAAAAAAACCACAGAGACCACATTTCACTTTCAATGGTTAGAGTCACTCTTTGAAATCAGGAATGAGCTCAAGGGTGACTGCTGTTTCTGTTTCTGTTCTACCTGTGGGTCTTACTTAGTGCAGTAAAACAAGAAAGGACTGGAGTGGAAGGAGCAAGTTAACTATTCGGAAACAAGTCTATCTCCCAAATGAACTCTGTGTATCCTTAAATATAACTTACCTTAGCCAGTGACATTATTACATGCTAACAAAAAGGAAGAAAAAAATTTAATTTAAAAAGGTATCATTCACAATTCATTAAAAACCATATAGTATTTAGGAATAAACTTACTAAGAAGAGTGTAAGACTTTATGGAAAAAATTACAAAGTTGATTGAAAGCCCTTGAAGAAGGTCTGCATACCTATATGGAAAGAAAAACACAAGAATGCAATGATATCATTCATACTCAGTGAAATTCACACAATGGTCAGAATCCCAAGGGAATGGTTAATCAGCTAGTCAGAATGATTGCCAGTGGGTATAGTAGAAGAAAGGCCAGGAATAGCCAAGGAAGTAAAAGAACAGGGAGGAGGCATTGGCTTGACATATAAGGTATTAGTGGGTAAGTAAGTGGTCTTAGCTAGTGCACAGGCTGTCTGTTGGAGGAGGAATGAGTATCTAGAAATAATCCCACGTATTTGTGATGGTGGGCATGTGACAGGAGATTTCATATCAATGTGGAAATGATGGTTTTTTCAATAAGTAGTACTGGACAGTAATGTGGGAGAAAAAAATATGTACTTAATTTTTGTAATCAAGCTCTGGGCACACAGTATATATCATTTAAAAATAATATATGTAGCCGGGCGCTGGTGGCTCATGTCTGTAATCCTAGCTACTCAGGAGGCTGAGATCTGAGGATCTCGGTTCAAAGCCAGCCCAGGCAGGAAAGTCTGTGAGACTCTTATCTCCAATAAACCGGAAGTGGCACTATGACTCAAGTGGTAGAGTGCTTGCCTTGAGCTGAAGAGTGCAGGGACAGCGCCCAGGCCCAGAGTTCAAGCCCCATGACCATCCCCCCCCCAAAAAAAAAAATATATATCTAGAGAATCTGCTGTACTGAATTTTGTGGGGTTTTTTGTTTGTTTTTGAAAGTGAGCACAACGAAATGACACCTTGAGAGTAATGGTTCCAACATATATGAGAGACAGGATGTTTATATCTTAATATAAGTTGATCCCTTTAAAATAAAAAAAAAATAAGATAAATCATTGTTTTGCTTTTCTGACTGATTTTGACTATTTTAGAACTTTTCTCCAGCCAGCAGCTGTAACAGTGAGAATTTTATAAAAGGTGAAAGACTTAATTATCTTTTATACTTAAAGCATGTCCCAGGTGGATGTGGATTCAGGAATTGAAAATATGGAGGTTGATGAAAACGACCGAAGAGAAAAAAGGAGCCTCAGCGACAAGGTTGGTAAGAGATGTGACTTTGCTTCATTCAGTCTTCAGGTAGCACAGACACATCATCCTTCTTATTGTAGGGCCTGTGCCAGCGGCCACCCACCAGCAGCTTTCACTTGGCTTTATTGCTTATGTCTGTTACTCTACCACTAGAACTACTCCTCCACTTCCAGCTTTTTGCTGGTTGATTGGAGATAAGATATCTTGGATTTGTGTGTCAGGGCTGGTTTGGAACTTCCATCCTCCAAGCAGCTAGGATTACAGGCATGAGCCACCAGTACTTGTCAATCAATGTCTTTGTAGTTGGGTTTTTTCTTCTGAAGAACAGTAAGTAGCCTTGATTCTCTCTCCCTCCCTCCCTCCCTTCATCCTTTCCTTTCTTCCTTCTTTCCTTCTTTCCTCTTCCTCTTCCTCTCTGGGTCTTTCACTCAAACAGGTAGATGACAGTTTTCTGAGGAAAGCAAGAATATGTAAAATTCAGTAGCAAGCAAAAAGTTTTTGAAACTATGAGGCCTTTATGTTGTGCTGTCATCTGAGCATAATTTCCTGTTTTTAGGGTTTCTTTTGTGTTTGCTTTTGGTCTTTTGGTGTTATGGCATGAACAATCACCACTTTTTGCTTACTGAATTTTTAAGACTAGTTTAGCAGCACGTGATGATTATTAGAACCTCCTGGTGGTGGCTGTACTGCTCAAATTTCTATCATTCTGTAGTATTTACAAAGTTCTTTTTTATATGTGATATTTTATCTATGATAGAATATAATGAGAAATACTTCATTTTAGAAATAGTCTTTTTTTTGGTTAGTGCTTGGGCTTGAACTCAGGGCCCTGTGCTCTCCTTTAGCTTTTTCACTCAAAACTTGTGCTCTGCCACTTAAGCCACAGCTCTACTTCCAGTTTTTTGCTCCTTAATTGGAGATAAGGGTTTCTCAGATTTGTCTGCCTCAGCTGGTCTCAAACCACAATCCTCCTGAGAAGCTAGGATTACAGATGTGAACCACAGGCCCAGCTGGAAATACTCTTGAAGGGAAGTTGATTATGTACCTAGAACGTTAACCTGGTCTTTTGGATTTCAGAAAAATAGACAAGATATGTACATCTTATGTGTATCTTATTTTTTTTCTAGGTGGTTTCTAATAATGACCTTGTTCTTTTATGCTCCCATCTCAATTGTATCATAAACTCATGAGACATAGATATTACAGATTGGAAGTCATGGTAACAAGTTTAGTTTTTCTTTTAATTAGTAGGTGAGTGGTTTTATGCTTTTTTTCCTGACATACTGAGGTTTGAAATCAGAGCCTCATGCTTGCTCTATCATTCTATCCTTTTTACTGTTTTGGAGATGGAGTGAACTTTTCTTTCCTGGGCTGATCTCAAACCATGATCCTCCTAAGTAGTAGGTAAGATTATAGGTATGAGCTGCCAGGACCTGGTAGTCTTGTATTTTTGTAGTGTCTTCACTTGTAAATGAATAAAATCTGAATAAAATATTCCTAGTGAACTAACATATGCCTCTTACTGGAGATTAACCACCAGATCTTCTTTCCTCCAAGGAGCCTTCTTCAGGCCCTGAAGTATCCGAAGAGCAGGCCTTACAGCTGGTCTGTAAGATCTTTCGTGTCTCTTGGAAGGACCGGGACAGAGATGTCATTTTTCTTTCTTCTCTTTCTGCTCAGTTTAAGCAGAACCCAAAGGAAGGTAAGTCTCTAGCTCAGCCATCTTTTTCAAGCACCTGCAGGGAAACAGTGTGAGAGCTTTGGCCTTTTCTGTGGTCCACATGTATCACTATTGCAGCGGCTGCTGGGTCACCAGATCAATGTCATGCTGAACATTAGCTCCAATTCAGGAACTAGCATCATGTTCTGCAGCTTGAGGTCCCTTCAGTGCCATCTTGTTTCCTGTCTTACTCTTTCTCTCCATCCCTTCCTCCCTCCCTGCTTGCCTGCCCACCTTATTCCCTCACTCTCTCCTTTCTTCTTTGCTTCCTGTGGTATTGGAGTTTGAACTCAGCACTTTATGCTTGCTGAGAAGATTCTCTGCTGCTAAGCCATGTCTCCAGCTGTGTTTTGTACTGGTTATTTGTGGCCTGCCCAAGCACACACCTAGACCAAAATTTGCCAATTTTATGCTTCCCATAGTTTCTGGAATGACAAGCATGTACTACAGCTTTCGACTCTACTCTGTAGCAGTACAGACTTTCAACTTTTCTGCTTAGGTTGGCCTGAGCAAAAATGATTCATCTCATTCCTAACCCCTAAAGTAGCTAGGAGTGCAGGCTTTAGCTACAGGCACCTAGTTGAGTGTTGGGACTTTTGATTGCAGGTATGCTCTTTAGTGAGGACACTGCTGTTTGATAATTTCTCTCTTTCCAGTGATTTTATTGTTAAGCAACCTTTTTACTTTCATGATTTCTGGATATGAAAGAAAATTATATGGTTAAGTTAATGGTCTCCACTGTGTATCAGGAGAGCCATGCCTAACCTGTTCATTATTCTGCCTTTCCCACAGTGTTCTCTGACTTTAAGGATTTGATTGGCCAGATTTTAATGGAAGTGCTAATGATGTCCACTCAGACTCGAGATGAAAATCCATTTGCCAGTCTGACAGCCACGTCACAGCCCATTGCAGCTGCAGCGCGGTCACCAGATAGAAATCTCATGCTGAACACTGGCTCCAATTCGGGAACAAGCCCCATGTTCTGCAACTTGGGATCTTTCAGTGCCAGCTCATTATCTAGGTCAGTGTGGTTGTTTTTGCACAGGCATTGGCACTTACGAGCCATGAAGGAGTAGGAGGAAGTGCTCACTCAGTGTTGGCCTGTGCCCTCGACACTTTGAAGTGGGTTGTATTTGGGGGGATAGATGTTGTTGTTGGAGGTGGCATTACCTTTTCTAGGTTTCTTTTGGCTTTTCATGTTTAGTCTATGTAGATTAAGACTTAGAAACCAATAGTTGTGTTAATATATTAGTCTTAGAAAAGGGGACATTAACTCCTCTGGATTGGTGCGACAATTAGATTATGATTATTTAAACATGTATCTCATCATATACTCAAACTCTTGCTAGAGATATGAAATGTATTTATGCTGTCCTTTGAAAACCTAAAGATTTCTATTTTAGTTATCTTAAGTTTTTCTTTGATTTTTCTCTTCTTTCCTCCCTTCCTCCGCTAATTTAGCCTCTATGAAACTAGCCCAGCTCCCACTTCCAGTTTCTGGAGCTCTGTGCCAGTGCTGAGTCCATCTTTTGCCTCACCTCCCCGTGCAGCCAGCCACATGGCTGTGTCTTCCACCTCCCTCAGTCCTCATAGTGCGGCTTCTGGACCTGCTGCGGGAAGCCAGCCCTCGTCCCCGCGCTATCGGCCCTATACTGTCACACATCCAGGGGGGTCTTCCCCCTGCCCTGTCCCACGGTCCTCAGGCACTTCCACTCTATCTGGAGCCCCAAGTCTCCCTGCCTTTGCAAGTAGCCCCCAAGCTGTGCCTGCCAGCAATTCCAGACAGAGGCCCAGCAGCGTGGGCCCAGCTCTCTCACCTGCCTCACCCCGTGCTGCAAGCAGACGGCCCTCCTCCCTGCGGATCTCTCCTAGGTATTTATTCACAGGAGAGCTGCGTGTGTGTTTGCAGTGCAAGGAAAGCAGATTAACATGGTTTGGAAGAGCTGCTGTGTGACACTGACCTCAGTTTAATTTGGGGGTTGTTTTGGGGACGTCATCTTGTGTCGCTAGCAAATGTGGTAGGCATGCACCCTGCATCCTGGCTTTGCCAGGTTGTGATCACATCAGAAAGTAAAGGTGGTGCTATGGTATGCTTCTTTTTCACCTCCTTTCCCTGGTTCATTTTCCTTCCTGCACACATACACACATACACACACACACAGAAAAGTGCATTTTTTAAAAATTGCAATCTAGTTCACATACCATTCCTAATTGCAAATGAATTTCAGAGACTGTGGTCAGTGTTGTATTTGAGGGTTGAGGCTCACAGGATCACTTTTTAACTGTTGTTAAGGATAGTCAGACCTAGGGGCTGAGGACAGATCTGTGCCTTAACCACTCCTCTTCTTAGGGCCCCTGGGCCTGTTCATATTTAAATGCTTTGATTTTTGGTTATGTATAATTTTGGCCTCTCAGAAAGCAGCATTATCAGAATTCTGAAAATCCTGTGGTCCCTTCCCTCAAATGTATCTGTGTATTTCTAATGGAGGTGAATTATTTTTTCTGCATGTCCATGGATAAAACTTTTTTTAGTGTAACCTTTACTTAAAAAGATAGAAAATGCACAAAGTTCTCCCCCTCTTGTTTTCTTTTGTTCCCTGATGACCTCTTTTGCTTTTGTTGTGGTAGTATATACGACAATCCTTTCTCCTTCCTCTTCCTCGCACTTTCTGGGGACAGTAGTGATGAAGAAGATGAAGAAGAAGATGATGGTGATGATGATGAAGGTGGTGGTGGTGGTGATGATGATTTTTCTTGTGTCCAGTTTGGGTCCAGGTATCAGAGGAATGGAGTCTTACCCTGCATGTGCTTAGGTGTTTAGGAACTAACTTGTGTAAGCCCTGCTTAGGGCTATGCTTTGAATCCAAACTGGATAGGGTTAAGTGAGGTGGCCTGGTAGGTGTATTGAAGTATGAGGACTTCACCGTGGTATGAAATGGCACAGAAGACAATTTTCTTAGTTGTTGCCATTCATTGTGCAATTCATTCCATCCCTCAAAGATGAGGAACATTCCAGTTATCCGTTACAAGAATCTTCTTCAGTAGGGTTGCATGAATTGCTGGCATTTAGGAAGGACCTGGGGCTTGAACCTGGGGTATGTATGTGTTTCCTTTTCCCCCATCCTGTCAAGCCTGGTCTTGACAGCCCGTTGGAAGAATCCAAAGGGGTCATATTGTCTAGTATATCTGAGCTTCCTCTTAACCTTTAATTTCCCTTTAATTTCCTTTAATTTCCTTTGTCCTCAGTGAAGTCAGACCCCATTTGTTTAAAGAGCCTGGGCAATGACAGCAGAAGCTAAAACTGGGTTCACTGAATAGTTGCTGCTGAAAACTAAAAAAAAATTCCCTGAGGTTTCTAGGTGACTTTGAGCAAGAAAATATGGGAGTTGTTTCTTTCTAATTAATCCTCTGACTCATTGTCTTACCAGTTTGATCTTAAAGTGGAGTTTCCTCGGGACAAAGTTGGGATTTGTGCTGTGCACTGTTCAAAAATAACTCTGGACTTTAAATAAAACCCTCTGTAGGAGTTAGGTACACTTCATTAATTGAACAGTGTTCAAGAGACTCATTAAAGAACACATAGAAGAATGTTGATACAAGGTTAAATATTGATTCTGAAAGGTTGATACTTGCATTAGGTTGGACTTTATACCACTATTTCTCAAGTAACTTTCCCAAAGGAAGAAGTGTCTTTTTCCATGCTTGTCTAGTTGCAAGATCACAGTCACAGAGCAGCTATGTCCTTAGGAATCACTTCTCATACTTGGGTAAAGGGGCTTCGTTATCTGCTTTGTTCTAAGTTATCTGTTGGAGAGATGCTCCTCTGGCCTATTTATTCTGTCATAGGCTGCTTTTACTGATGACTCTCTTTCTAGGTTTCTAACATCCCAACCTTGCCTGAGATCTTCTATACCTAGTAGCAGAAATACTTCCTGGGGTCATAGTAATAACTGTTAACACTGAGTGTGAAGTGCCACATCCTGTGTTGGTGATCTGGCCTATCTCTTGTTCTTCAGTCCTTTCTGTAGCAGTGGATGAGGAAACCAAGTACAAGTGCACTTGGTGAGGTGCAGAGAGGTTAAAATCACATATGTGTTAATGGCAGAGCCTAGATTCAGATTCAAACAGCTGGAACCCAGAGCTCATGTATCTAGCCTTTCCATCTGTGCCCAACGGTGCCTGTGTTGTTCTTCCCTAATATTTATTTCACCTTTAAGAGTCTATGTGTTCCTTGAATTACTTCCTAATTACAAAATATAATTAAATCTCATGCCAGTTTGTTGAGAAGTCCCTTATTGGTGGTTACAATGCAATGGCATGATCCAGATTGTAAATTAAATAACCTAACTATAGATAACTAATACATATTAAAAAGAATGTAAAAGCCAGGCACTGGTGGTTCACGTCTGTAATCCTAGCTACTCAGGAGGCAGAGATCTGAGGATCACAGTTCAAAGCCAGCCCAAGCAGGAAAGTCTGTGAGACTCCTTTTTTTTTTTGGGGGGGGGGTCCGGTCATGGGGCCTGAACTCTGGGCCTGGGCACTGTCCTTCAGCTCTTCAGCTCAAGGCTAGTGCTCTACCACTTGAACCACAGTGCCACTTCCGGGTTTTTTTTTTCTTTTTGCTTATGTGGTGCTGAGGAATTGAACCCAGTGCCTCAGGCATGCAAGGCAAGCACTCTTCCACTGAGCCACCTTCCCAGCCCTTGTGAGTCTCCTATCTCCAGAAGTGGCGCTGTGGCTCAAATGGTAGAGTACTAGCCTTGAGCTGAAGAGCTGAGAGACAGAAGTAACGCTGTGGCTCAAATGGTAGCGTGCTAGCCTTGAGCTGAAGAGCTGAAGGACAGCAACCAGGTCCAGAGTTCTAGCCCCACAATTGACCAAAAAAAAATTTTTTTTAAAAGAATGTAAAAAGATAACTAAATAAACATAACTTGAGGCAAGTAGGTATTAAGAGTATATGTCAAGGCAAACCAGAAATAAATTGGAAAACCTCATAAATTTGACTGGTCAGCAAAGAGAAAATTTTTTCTTCCTCTTTCTAATAGATCTTTGCAGAATTTCATTTATTTTGAAGTAAGTAAGTAATTATATGCTTCTTAGTCAGTGAGACTGTTTTCACAAGAATCAGGAAGATGGTCTTCATTTTCTTTCTGTTTGCCCAGAAGAGTTGATGTGTTTAAGTCCTTTGGGAAGGAGTTATAACATACAGTCATGTGTTAATTCCTCACTATGGTATTGCTGAAGGTTGGTTAGTTTAAGAAAGGTGAGGCATTCTTCTGTATTGTTTTCAGGTCTTCTGTGGAAAAAAACCGTATGAGAAGTCACAAGGAACTAGCTGCTCCTGTTCTTGCAGGAGAGAAAACAGTAAAGGGAAAATGGTCTTGTGAGTCAGATAACTGTAGGAATTATCCTGAGGAGTTTTCTGATAGTTTCCTAGGAAGTTGGTGACAGTAAGAAATTGGGGGGTGTTTTGTTTTATTTGTTTGCTTTCTTTGTTGTTTTTAGTGAAGAAAGTCAAACCTTGAATGTCCTGAGCTTATATAAGGACAAAGGAGAAAATAGCTAGCAATGGGAAAGGTTGACATACATGCTGCTGTTCCTGCTGGTCACCACTGCTAGAGGATACGTGGAAAGAGTGGGAAGTCCTTCTACTCACCCCTCCCATACACCCTAGGCCTCTAGTGTTTGTTCTGCTCTTTGCACTTAGTATACTCTCCTGTCTTCAACCTTTGGACTTATTTCTTCTCTGAGCCTCTCTTGCCCAGATAGCTGTAAGGCTGTTTCCCCAACTTCTCTCAGTTCTCTGTGTGAATGCTATCTTGTCAGAGGCTGGCCCCTGACCCTCTGGTGTTAACCATTAAATTATACATGAAGCTGGGTGGCTCACGAGACCTGTAATCCTAGCAACTCAAGAGGCTGAGATCTAAGGATCGTGGTACAAAGCCTGCCTGGGCAAGAAAGTCTGTGAAGACTCTTTTCTACAGTTAACCACCAGAAAACTGGAATTGGAGCTTTGGC